TATTCGTTGACTTCTTAAAAACCCGATTACTGACATGGCAGAACCGCCTTCCAAAAAACTTTGTATTTTGTCAAAGAAAAAGATATTAAGAGATTCTCAAAGAAGAAGGGCCCAAGAAACGTCTGTGGAACGTGAAAGACGGATGGAACATGACCGAATTTTGACAAGCAATTCTAGAGCCCAAGAAGTATCAGAGAAACGTCAAAGAAGATTAGAAGAGAATCGTGTCTCAACTAGCAGTGCTAGGGCCAGAGAAAAACCTGAGGAACGTCAAAGAAAATTGGAAGAGGATCGTGTCTCAACTAGCAATGCTAGGGCCCGAGAAACATCTGAGGAACGTCAAAGAAGATTGGAAGAGGATCGTGTCTCAATTAGCAATGCTAGGGTCCGAGAAACCTCAGAGAAACGTCAAAGAAGATTGGAAGAGGATTGTGTCTCTACTAGCAGTGCTAGGACCCAAGGATATGAAGACAAAATTGCAGGACAAGACCACTTTAATTGTCCACTAATCTTCAGATTTCCTGCTAAGTTTTAAAAAAATTTATTTGTGAAAACCTTTAGAGTGGTGGACAGCTGGCCGCCTTAGGCGGCTAGTAAAATAATAAAAAGATAATAAAAAATTATTTAAAAATTATTTTAACGTCCGTCTTCTCCCATTTACATTTTATCTGTTCACTATTCTAAGAACGATAAAAGTAGAATGATATTTGACTTCTTTCATTTCCTGGCTTTTAGAAATTTTCCGTCTAATCTCCAAAAGAAGCAAGAATTTTTTTTTTCTTTAGGTGAAGAGAGTGGAAAAATACATTTCTAATATTCACTATTGTTTTTATCAAGAATTTGAAGTTTTTAGCTTTTGTTAACAATTAATCGCCATTTTTCGAAATGAAAATTAAAATTTTTGATGAAAAAGTGGACAACTTGGCAAAATTTTTTAACCATTATCACGACCGAAATACAAAGGACGAGAAAGCGAATAATATTTATTAAATTAAATATTTTTTAAAACTATTTTAAAATTTTAAATTTAAATATTTTTGTTCGTATATTGATTTGTGTTGGTATACTAAATAATTTGAGTTAGTGCAGTTTGTGTGTCAAGTGTATTGTAACATTTTGCTTTTATACCACTATAATATACTTCAAAAATAACTTTTCAACCGCGAAATTTGATTCGAACACTATTGAAAGCAGAGCGATTTATACAAATATTCAACCGCTCATCGTCAGTGGTTAAAAGCATATTTCCTGCTTTTTAAAATAATCTAATTGATTTCCAAAAGAAGACAGAAAAATAGATTTTAATTCCTAAAGTGCCGAGAGGGAAAAATATATACTAAACACGTATAATTTGTTCTTGTAACAGTAATAAAAAAACCCAACTCAAACTTGTGTTCTAACGTGCAATTGAAAAAAACAATGTAAGTATTTCACAATAGATTTCGAGTTAAATGGCTTGGCAAATATTTCCTTCGTATTTTCAATACTAAAACAGAATTTATAAAAATTGGCAAAACATTTATCTGTAAAAAAGGTTTTTCTGCAACTAATAGATTATCATACACAAAAGTACCAAATATATAAAAATCATAATTCTAAATTTTTCACAGCTTCCGTTTATTTTCCATTGCACGACAGTATT